CAGATGACCTTGTGTTATCTTTCTCTCCTTCTCCTTCAGCATTTGTGGGCAGTGGCTCTGCCGTGACAGTTAACCAGTCTCCAATCTTTGTCAAAGAGTTGCCGGGGATAGATGTTTCTTTCAACTGTTCTGTTGATCAATTAAACTATAATTTCTACTGGTATCGGCAAGCACCTGGAAACACAGAACTAGAAGTGCTTGGGGTCTTGTACAGTTATAATACAAACCTTGAAGATAGCCCAGAGAAGTGGACGAACCGGCTGAAAGCAAAGTGGAAAGACAAAGAAAAGAAGAAAATGAGTTTGGATCTGACAGGTCTTCAGCCTGGTGATACGGGCTTCTATCTCTGTGCTTCAGGGGACACAGTGAATGAGGGAGGAACTGGAATGGGTACAAAACTGAGTATCAGAATAAGCCTCCTCTGCTTTTCTTAGGCATGTTGGTGGTTGTGCTCCAAAGCATTCAGTAGGCATCTGGTTGGGAGGGGTCCAACACCCTGAGGACACCCCAAAGAGCTTCAGTCAACCTCATCTGCATTGTGCCACCATTGGCCCAGGCCTCTCCCTTTACCAAACCATGTTATAAGAACTCGGTGGTCTGAGATACAGCCTCAATTCCAACATTCCTCCAAGCGATGATGGACACTAGTTTTCTTGCTTTGCCTTAGTGTATGGTGAATTCAGCCCCTGTGGGTCTTAGAGTTTAGCATGTTAATTATGGTTTATTCAATAAACCATGATTAAACACACCAAGAGTATGCTCTGTGCCAATGTAGTCACCGAATGCCCTTTCCGGGAGAGCCCTATTTCGTTCTTGAACATGATGCTGGACCTCTGCAGGCGGGCAAAGACTTTATATCTTCCATGGAAGAAACTTAGATTCCACCTACATAGGTCTGGCATTTCAGCTATAGAGGTTTTCTTTTAAGTCTGTGCCTGAGCTTTGCATGAGCAAAACTTGTAGAAGTGTGAGTGTATATCAAGAAGCAGGTTGGCATTTTTGGTTCTCTCTTGCATTTTCTGCCATAATGCAACCTGATGGACGCAGCATCTCATCCTTCAAGCTCCAACCAGATAAGGCTCACTGTATCCCCTCAAGCAGAGAGACTCACCCTGAGTCACCCAGAAGAACTCTGTGGCTGAGGATCTTCCCATTCTCAGGCTGGACCTGGTAAAGGTTGTGCCACCTTGAAGTTCCTGGATGGAAGGAATGTGCCGCTCCACACTGAAAAGGTGGCAATGCTGGAGCCCATGCAGCCTCTTTAGGAAAGGCACCGCATAGCCAGGATCCCACTGCTGAGAAAACCTGGTTCTCCTTTGGGTTTCTGTTTGTAGTGTGTCTGCAGGAAAGAGAGTCTTCAAGCTGGACAGATTAACACAGTGAGAACCGTTCTTCAAATATTTGCATTTAAGGACTGTCAGGGGGCCAAGGAAAGTCACCAGCACTTCAACATTAACCTTTTCTTTGAATTATTTAAAAATATCTGAATTAAAACCACACTTTGTAGGGATGACTTCGCTTGTTTTCATGCCTCTTTATTCCAACATGGATTATAGCTACGGAGCTCAACAGTTGGACGGGGTCCAGCCCTATCTGGTTCTCAGAGAAGGGTTGAGCATAATGCTGGGAGCCACTGCAGTGACTAGCTCATGCCAGTCCCAGTAGGATTTTTCTACCCCTTTTCTCCTCTTTTCTTTTGCCACTGAAAGATTTTTACTCGCTGTTTGTAATGGGGGGGCAGTTTAAAACAGAGAAGGGTTCACGTGCTACAAGTGGAAAGGGCAAGCTGAGCCTGGCTTTTGACAAAAGCCCCCTTCACTTTGCAGCAAGAGGGATCAGCTGGACAGCTGGCAACTAAAGCTGTAGATGTTGCTCAATGGAACCTGATGGGTGTGTGA